GTTTCTGTATTGGGTTGGTGTTTACTGGGATGTAGGTTTATTTGTTTATATTTCAAATGTAGTCACTGCCCATGTCACTCAGAGAGCGACCCTGGGCAGTTTCTTTGTCCTCCAGGAATTCTTTGGCTTTCTTTGTGTATTGTGTCCTGCCCATGATAACCATGGTTTGGCCTTTGTCTGTTGGGAGGATGGTGACGGTTTGATCCTTCAGGTTTTTGAGGGCTGCTCTGCCCTCTGCTTTGAGCTGGTTCTGATTCTGTGTTCTTCTGGGCTGTGATATGATTGTCTGCCTTGTGTTTTCTTGGGCCTCTGTGGCAAGTCCCGTGGTTTTAAATGCCGCTTCTAAGGCTGCAGAGAATTCTTATAGTTGAGGCCTTTCTGGAGGATACTGTGTTCTGCGGTGGATGGTGGGCGGCTGGACAAGTTGACTCCCCATTTGGGTTCAGGCACCTCTTTGCTTCTGGGGTTTAGCTCGAGCAGTTTGGTTGGAGTTTTGTTCTTCTTATTTCAGCTTCTCTTAAGGACGTAGTCTTGATGGCGGTTGCCAGCATTGTTGTGTGTTCTGGAGTCCTGGTTTGTTCCAGTTGCTCCTTGAGGTAGTCCATGATGTGCTGGATTTGATGAGTCTGAGGTGAGCATCCCTGATCATTAGCTGTATCATTTTTCAGTCGCTTTGTTGAGCTATTTTCCATCCAGTTGTGCGGTTTATTGGAGGTTTGCATCTGATGCTGGTGGGCAGGGCGTGCTGTTGCAGGCATTCATAGAAAGAATAGTTGTTCCTTGGTGGGGGTTTGCCTGCATGCAAATTTCTCCCATTTGTGTGCTTTCTGAATAAAATAAAATAAAATTTTAATTTTAAAAATATTAAAAAATGAAACATCTGCAATCAAACAACCAAGCTCAGAGAGTACCAACGACTCCGCAGTTCAACCCTGAGCTATGTGTATTCTTTTCTATTGGAAATGAACCTGCTAGAAGTTGGTGAAAGAGACATAATTAGTTCTTAGAATGAAATTATGTTTGACTTTAAAACCCACAAAGAATTAATAGAAAGGTAAGGGACAGTGAGAAATAATGGAATCTTTCTTCCCTAGCACAGCAAAATGTGTCAGATAAGGCTTTCTTGAAAGGGGGGCCTAGGGAATCCCCCTGGTTTGTTGGCTAGAGGGTACATTTGGAACACTGAAAGCATCTCCTGGGTGCTATGAAAGCATGGCCAGTCCCCAGTTGATCAAGCTTGGGGCATGGAGATGTCCTCCTGCTCAGTCTTGTCCTTGCCCTTGCTCACGCCTACAGCCAAGGAACATTTTTTCACCTTATTCAGTGCACTCAGGTTTTGGTGGGTCAGAACTGGACCTGGTCTGAGACATGGGGAGGGAGGTTCTCTCTGCCTGCAGCTTTCTTGGAAATGAACCTCCTCCTTAGTTCAGTGTTGGCTCCCGTTTTATGGCAGTTGGGTGAATCACACTGCCCCAGAATAAGCAGCTGGCAGGAAAGGAGAAGTTCTGTCCTGAAAATGGGGTTGAAGCCCAAAATGGGCAAAATGCCAGAGCTTAGCCCTGAGGGAGAGGCATCTCTTCAGGAAGCAAGCACCCTGCATTCTCTGGTCCTTGGTGGTGGGGATAGTCATTTGGGCTTGCCTCACTTCTATAGAACTGCTGAGAATGGGACCCTGCTGGTCCAGGCAGGGCCATGGGTCAAGACTTCCAACTGGAACCTTGACTTCCCTCAATTGTCTTCTGCTGGGTAGTCAGGGATTTTGGGAAGACCTTAGTAAAGCATGTTGACTTTGGCTTTCCAAGATGATGCTGAGTGATCTCCTGCTTGTTGTTTGGGAATTTGCTGGGAAAATAAGAGATCTATCAGGAGCAGCAAGAAGCCCAACCAAAAAGGAGAATATTGTGGAAGGGCAGGAAAAGGGAGAAATAGCCACCAGCAGCGCACAAAGTGACAGCATTCATTGATACAGGCCTTGCTGGGCAAGGCCCAACCACCACTGTCTTGCTCAGGCCTGCTGTTGGCATTGGCTCTTGACCATAACAGTAAGAGGCAGAGCCTGAGGAAGTTTTCTTCTTTTCCAGCTGGTGAAGCTCTGTATTGCCATGATTGATACTGGAAAGGCCTTTTGTGTAGCAAACAAACAGTTCATAAATGGCCTACGGGATCTGGCCCATTACTCCAGCAGAGATGAACTTGTGGAGGTAAGTCCTGGGCAACCTGAGAGATTGTTGGCCAGGAGGGTTGGGGCCTGTGGCCAGAGAGGTTCCCTTGCAGAACTGGGCCCTGGAAGAGGGACTGTAGGAAGAGCTGCTGCTGCTGCTGCTGCCGCCACCGCCAGTAGAATGGGGTTCAACCTCCTCTTGAACAAGAGAGAATATGTGGGGTGGAGGAGTTGAGCCACAGGGTCAGCTTCTCCTTGGGTATTGGGACTTTCCAGAATTGCCTCCTCAAACTCTTATGCGAGTCTCCTACTTGGTTCTTCGTCCTTTAATGCCAACTGAGGCCTACGAACTCCTGGGCAAATCTATAGTACTATGGTCCCAAGTACAGCCATGACCCCAGGTGCTTTGGAGTGGGGGAGGGAGCCACCTGGGTGCTGTGTTTTCAGAAGGAAATGTTTTGCCTGTTCTGTTCCATGTTCTTTTTCCTCCCTCTCTTCACTTACAGAACAGCTTGACAAAATTCTCTGATAGCCTCCAAGAGATGATCAATTATCATACAGTAAGTTTTGGAAGTATCTTAATTGAGGCAGAGCCTCTTTATGTATCTTGAAATACATCTGATAAATGATTGTTTGTAGTCATGTTTGTATGCACTTCATAGATTTTGTGTGTCTTTTTTTAAGTTGCTTTTGAAATCCCTTGGAAAGTGGGTGACTCAGTTGTTCCAGCAGACTTCCTGGAACATTGCTCTTGGCACTGTGTTCCTGTTGCTCTGGCCTTCCATCTGGAAAACTGCTTTGCTTCTCCCTCCAAAGCTCATGGAGGTGGGGGGGGGGCAGCAGCCAGAGTTTTGAAATGCTTCTTCATTATGGAGGCTTACTGGAAAGGAATATTCCTATTTTTGCCCTGGGTGCCAGAATCTGTTGAATGCAGAAGAAAGAAGTCATGTTGGAGTAGTCTCTTCCTGACATGGGCAGGAGCAGAGCACAAGAGGGCCAAACTTGGGCAGGGTGGGTGTTGTCTCTTAAATCTGGACCTGAGAAACGTGGCTGGGAATCCCAACTTAGTCTCAATTAATGGGAATTGTCCTTCTGCCATCCTCCAAGCAGAGCAGATGAGGAGGTTCAGTGGAGGAGGAAGCTGCTTGAAGAGGGAGTGGGGGGGAGGTGGACCCAGTTCAGTGGGGTTTCCTCTGTGAGGTCATCCTTTGGCTGAAGGAGTCTCTGGCCTATTCTGCATTCCTGGTGGGTCCAGACAAGGTCACATTAGGTTAGCCATACTTCTCTCACTGTTTGGCAAAGCAAGAACAGAGCATTGAACCCTGAATGAGTTGGTGTCAGAGTCATCCAAACTGCCCTCTCAGCAGTCAGAGCCTGGTTCAAAGACTGATGGAAAGAGAGCCCAGGGACTGCCATCTGCAAACTTGCCATGGCCCCAGCAGAGTGTTCTGCTTTCTGGATTCTCTGTTGTCCATTGTCTCGGGCTCATGTGCAGGGAGTCCGGCTGCCCTGGCAAAGAGAGCAGGCTCTAGCTCACATGTTGTGGGGAGTAGCCCCTTGTGGCATGAGGCAGTCCCAACAAGCAGAAGGAGCTGTTACAGAAATGGATGAATGATGATGAAGCTATTAAGCTCAGAGAACCCGAAGGACTCCTCAGTTCAATCCTGAGCTACACGTATTCACCTCTATGGTAGACTGCATCTCTTCCAGGATAACCACTGGCTGTCACTCTGCCTCTCTGGACTCAAAAGCTTTTTTGTTGTTCACTGATTATAACATTTCTATCCACCCATCAACAGTTTCCTTTGTATGCTATTACAACTAAAATAATGTATATAGGACTTTCTGATATTAAAATCAAAATAATCAATTAGAAATATTAAAGACCTAGATGGCATTTTAAAGATTAACACATTTATTTATCCCTAGATGCTGGGATATGAATGGACATTTAAAAAAATTATTTATGAATAGAATGGAATGGAATAGAATTGAATACTTTATTGGCCAAGTATGATTAGACATACAAGGAATTTGACTTCGGTGCAAAGAGCTCTCAGTGTGTTTGCATAGCATCAAGAAATAAAGAATAATAAGAAAAAACAGTAATAACATTACACTAAAACTATGCAGT